CTGTTAACACCTGTCTCCTGAGTGTACACCAGGCCGGCACCATCAGCCCCAGCAACTGCTGTTTGGCAAGGCTTCAACACAAATTCACAGTAACATTAGCAGCGTTAATTTTTTTTCCGGTCTGTCACTTTGTCTTTCATTTATAACATAATATTCTTCGCTGTGGCTTCTGCTAATGTGACCCAGACCAACCTACTTAAGGTCAGCAAATACTGTTCACTTTCTCCCATGAAGTCCTTCAGGAGAAAAGTATTCTTTACTCTGACATTATCCAGGGATGTCTTCATTATAGGAATGACACTGCATTCAATTGCACACATGGTGATCCTTTTCTCCAGGCATCAGAGGCGATCTCCTCACCTTCACAGCATCAGCATCTCTCCACCACCCTTCCCAGAGAAAAGGGCCACTCAGACCATCCCGCTGTTAGTGAGCTACTTTCTCGTCATAAGCTGGGTGGACCTCACCATCTCATCTTCTTCAACCCTGCTGTGGACGCGTAACCCAGTCATCCTGAGTGTGCAGAACCTTGTGGGCAATGTCTATGCCACTGTTGTTCCACCAGTACAAATCAGCTCTGATAAAAAGATAGATGACATTCTCCAAAATATGCGAAGTGCTATAAAGCTTTAACAAGTTGGTGACGGAAAACATTTCTAAAAAATAGTCTTCTCCTACAGTTAAATTGTTCAAGTAGCCCTGGAGTTCCTTTTATCTTATTTAATAAAATGCACGGAATCACACTTCTATTGTATTTATATGCTTTCAAAACTGATGCATCCAAGGACCATGTAATTTAATTCCAAAGTCTACCATGGGTTGACATTTCTATATCAAGTTTCTTTCATTTTTATTTTCATTTTGATAGCAGAAAATGTTTCTCCTAAAGTATTCCTTTTTTTTTTTTTTTTTGAGACAGTGTTTCTGAGGCTGGAGGGCAGTGGTGCAATCTCAGCTCACTGCAACCTCCACCTGCTGGGTTCAAGGGATTCTCCTGCCTTAGCTTCCTGAGCAGCTGGGATTACAGGCATGCACCACAACGTCCAGCTAATTTTTGTATTTTTAGTAGAGATGGGATTTCACCATGTTGGTCAGGCTGGTCTTGAACTCCCGACCTCGTGATCCGCCCGCCTCAGCCTCCCAAAGTGCTGGGATCACCATATTGGCCAGGCTGGTCTCGAACTTCTGACCTCCTGATCCACACACCTTGGCCTCCCAAAGAGCTGGGATTACAGGCGTAAGCCACTGCACCCGGCCCCTTATCTATAGTTAATAATGCTTCAATAAACATAAGAGTGAAAATATCTCTTCTATCTCTTCAAGATAGTGATTTTATGTTCTTTGGATATTTACTTAGACGTGAGATTGCTGAATCACATGATAGTTTTATTTTTAATTATCTGGTGAAACTCCATGCCATTTTCCATAATGACTTTACCAATTTACATTCCCAGTGACAATGTACAAGGGTCTCTCTTCTCTATATTCTTGATAACACTTGCTTTCTTTTGAATTTTTGATAAATATCACCTTAATATGTGTTTGAATGCTAACTCATTGTGGTTTTGATTTGCAGTTTTCTCAGAATTACTAATGGCTTCTTTAAAAAAAAAACTAGCTTTCTGGCCACTTTTTAAAACAATGTGTTACTTTTCATTGTTATTTTTATTTGGGGGGCTTCAGTTGTATGAGTCTCTTGCAGATTTTGAACACTAATACTTTATCTGATATTTGCCACACAGGTATTTTTCTCCAATTCTGTACATAGCCTTTTAATGTCACTGACAGTCTTTTGCTTTGCAGTAGAAACTTTTTAGTTTGATGTAGTCCCACTTTTTTTCCTGTGCTTTTGGTGTAAAATACAAAAAAAAGAAAAAAAAAAACTATTGCTAGGATCAATGCCAAAGAATTTTGCTTAGTGTTGTCTTCTGGAAGATTTATGGTTTTCAAGTCCAATGTTTAAGTCTTTAATATATTTTAAATTAATTTTAAGTATGCTGTAAAGGTTGGGTGCAATCTGTTTTTGCATATGGATATCCCATTCTCCCATCATCATTTATTGAAGAGTTTATTCTTTCACCATTGTCTGTTTATATGCCTTTGTTGAAAATGTATTGACTGTATACAGATGGATATATATATATATATCTGAGCTCTCTATTCTGTTCCATTGGCTTATGTTTTTGTGTTTATGCCAATATTTTGCAGTTTTGATGACTACAGCTTTGCTATATAGCTTGAAATTAGGTAGCATACTGCTTCTCGCTTTGTTCCTCTTGCTCAAAATTGCTTTATTTGAGGTCTTTTATAATTCCATACAAACTGTGGATTTTTAAAAAATTTTTGTTGAAAATGCTATATACACCAATTTCAGTAGTACGAATATTTTTTTTTTTTTTCTTGGTCTTGCTTTTTTGAGATGGAGTCTCACTCGGTCACCAGGCTGGAGTGCAGTGACGCAATCTCAGCTCACTGCAACCTCCGCCTCCTAGGCTCAAGCGATTCTCATGCTTCAGCCTCCTGAGTAGCTGGTAGTACAGGCATGTGCCACCACACTACCTAATTTTTGTATTTTTAGCAGAGACAGAGTTTCACCATTTTGGCCAGGATGGTCTCGATCTCCTGACCTCATGATCCACCCGCCTCAGTCTCCTAAAGTGCTGGCATTACAGGCGTGAGCCACTGTGCCTGACCAGTATGAATGTTTTAATACTAATTTTTCTAATCCATGAACACTAAGTATTTTTAAATTTGTCTTGTCTATAATTGTCTCCACTAATAGTTTACAGTTTTTGTTGTACAAATCTTTTACCTTCTTTATTTCTAAGTGTTAGGTTGGTGCGAATGTAATTGTGGTTTTTGCCATTAACAACCTAATACTTTATTATTTTAGACGTTGTGGCAAATGTAACTGTCTTCTTGATTTTTCCAAGATACTTGTTGTTGGGGTATAAAAATGCAATTGATTTTTTGTGCATTGATATAGTATCCTGCAAACCTACCAACTTCGTTTACTAGTTCCAAAATTTTTTCATGTAATGATGAGCACACTGGCCTGTATTTATACATTGATAGTTTTTATTAACATATCACAGTGCCTAAAAGTGTGTTCTGTTGTATTTTTGTTGTGACAAATTCTATGGCATCTTTTAGTCCTAATCTTTTTTTTAAATGCTTTTGTTTGGTATTTGATAATAATGTGTCTATGGTTACTTTTCAATTGTGCAACAATTTATCTCCATGCCAAGTCAAACTTTCTAATGAAGTTAATAGTTTTATGTACATTTAGTTATTGTAAATCAAAACAGTAAATTTTTATGACAGTTTTAAAGTTCCTAAGATTGAGAATATGTCATTTTTTCACTGCCCATGAATCTGTGGGATCCTTATTTTAAACAATTATATATGAGGTATATATATATATTATATATATAGTCTTAGAATCTTGCCTAATATATTGCATGCACTAAGCAAGCACTAGTAAAATTATTCATCAAATTATCATCTTCATACCATTCTTCAAGTGGCATACTGTTTGTTCTAATTAAAAACTATGTTTCTGTCTTATGTAAGTATCAACAAAAATTAGAAGGTCTACTTGGTCTGCCCTCTTGAGAAAATCCAAAGTTAACTGGTAGTTTTACTAATTTCCTTTAGATTTAGTACCTTATTTCCTTATTTCCTCACATAATAAATGTAAACATTAAGGACAACATCATATTTAAATGATCCGTCCTACAACAGACAGACTTTGGGTCATTCATTGATTGGGCTGAAGCCTCACTCTATATTAATTCTGATTTTTTCATGTTAACAGCCTAGAAAATCTATTACACATGGAATGTTATAAATTAGAAATTAATATCTTGGATGTACAAATTATGAAAGTAAACAGAAAAGTATAATGTAAAATAAATATTTATATATTATGAATTGTTACCCAAGTAAAGCAAAAGCATTCATTTAAAATATTTTCACAAAGAAAAGTCCAGGGAAAAATAATCTATATAAAACGTTCTACCAATATTCAATAAATAATTAATACTAATTCTTCAGCAGAAAATACTTCCAAAAAATGAAAAAGAGGGAACATTTTCCAATTCATTCTAGAGGCCAGTATTACTGTAATACTAAGGCCAGACACAAGAATAAACAGAAGGTCTGTGGGCAAATGTGCCATATTCACGTAGACACATACAGCCTCAGAAAACTTCAGCATGATAAATCCACGCACATAAAATATGAATATACACCAAGAACAAATGTGATTGTTTCGTAAATGTAGTTGTGACTTAGTATTTGAAATTCAATCAAGATAAGAACAAAAAGCGATCCTTTAAATAGGTACAAAGTTACAAATATCTAGCATCCTTTCCTGACAAAACCCCAGAAAACCACTAATAGAAGATTCTGAGACCCACTAAGAGATATCTATAAAAAACCTACAGCTAACATCATACTTAATGGTGACAGACTTGTGCTTCTTTACCTGAAAGTTTGAGAAGACAAGAATTTCTACTTTAACCACTCTATTCAGCATTGTACTGGAGGTATTAGCTAGGGAAATTCTACAACAGAAAAAACTGTCCAGATTGTAAAATAAAAGTAGAACTGTCATTATAGCAAATGAAATAATTTTCTGATAAAAAAAAAAGGATTCACTAAAATATCACTAGAATTAATACGCAATTTTATCAGGGGTTTTTAAGAACTGTGCAGGGTGGGACTCTAGAGGCACAGGTTCAGTGCATAAACATACATCTTTAGGAGGCCGAGGCGAGTGGATTACCTAAGGTCAGGAGTTCAGCCTGGCTAACATGGTGAAACCTGGTTTCTACTAAAAAAGAATACAAAAAAAAAAAAAAAAAAAAAAATTAGCCGGGCAAGGTGGTACACACCTGTAATCCCAGCTACTTGGGAGACTGAGGAGGAGAATAGCTTGAACCTGGGAACCGGAGGTTGCAGTGAGCTGAGATGGTGCCCCTGCACCCAAGCCTGGGTGACAGAGTAAGACTCTGTCTTAAAACAACAACAACAACAACAACAACAACAAAAAACAGACCTAAAAGCCACTAGGGGTCACCTGTTAAAGTTTGTGCTGGTTGGGGATCCTACCTCCTTCTGATATCTGGTCAGGGGTGGAGAAGCTCTGGCGCTGTTGGGCCATCTGGTTTCTTTATATAGCTGTGCCTACAAATAAAATAAAGAAACTGAAGAAACACAGTAAGAAAAAGAACTTTTGCAGTTATTTCATCAGGGTGGCCCTGGTAACATTTTTATTAATTTTTCTTTTATTTACTTATGTATGTATTTTTATGTATTTATTTATTTTTTGAACTGGTGTCTTGCTCTGCCACCCAGGCTGGAGTGCAGTGGCTCGATCTCAGCTCACTGCAACCTCCACCTCCCACCACGTTCAGGGGATTCTCCTGCCTCAGCCTCACACCCGGCTAATTTTTTGTATTTTTAGTGGAGACAGGATTTTGCCACGTTGGCCAGGCTGCTCTCGATCTACTGACCTCAAGTGATCCACCTGTGCTGAGATTACGGTCATGAGCCACCGTGCCCAACCTAATTTTTCTTACATTTATGTAGAGCTCGCATTTATTTCAGTGTTTAATATTGTAAGTGTTTTGGGCCCTTCTAACTTTGGTGATGTTTTTGTGATCAGAAATATGCCATAGAAAATGAACTATTTCTATCAATTAGGCTATGGTAGAATGGAAAAATGGTTTAATTACAGGTCACAGTTTTCAAGAATGTATTAAATCCTCACACTAAATAAGAACTTACTGTATTCAGCACACAATGGATAGTCAGAAAAGCTTAAGCAAAAATGTGTAATTCTTTTACCAGAACACAGTTGATAAAGACGTAATTTTATGAAGCATCAAGTTTATAACAAAGTTATTAAATTATGTAGATAGTATTAGGGCTGTGAAAATAAAGGTCACATAGGTCCATTTGTCTGCAAGTCAGCACATAAACATAGGATGATTAACAATATAAGCTGTAGCTTATGCTAAATGTTGGCTGGAACAGACAATAAATTATGGAGAACTTCAGAGGTCACTAAGCTTGGATGGGATCTTGGAAGTTTTACAGGTTAATGTCACTCCATCTATTGGCTGATCTTCACTAGTTTAATAAATGGACAACGAAGATAACATATATCAGAAGTTAAAATCATTTCATTGAGTATCTGCCACGTCTGTGCCATTGGAGTGTACTAGGTGCCTTATAGCACTCATGAGTCCTCTACTTACAAAATGCTTTTCACAAAATATGAAACTCCAGGCAAAGGTTCAGACATATGAAGTTTGCTTTTGAAATCTTTATTTAAATTAATTAATTAATTAATTAATTTTTGAGACGGAGTCTCGCTGTGTCGCCCAGGCTGGAGTGCAGTGGTGCGATCTCGGCTCACTGCAAGCTCAGGCTCTCAGGTTCAAGTGATTCTCCTGCCTCAGCCTCCTGAGTAGTTGGAACAAAACATGTGCGCCACCAAATCCAGCTAATTTTTGTACTTTTAGTAGAGGCGAGGTTTCACCATGTTAGCCAGGATAAGTCTCGATCTCCTGACCTCGTGATCTGCCCACCTCGGCCTCCCAAGGTGTTGAAACTCCAGGTGTGAGCCACCGTGACCGGACTGTTTTTAAAATCTTTGTAAAGCCTGGTATCCTTTTTCCTTTCCTTCCTTTTACCCTTTTATGAGTTTTATCTTAGACTAACCTCTGTAATGTTGCTATATGCCAGTATTCAGTTGCTGTGTTTGATGAATCATAAAATGGTGTAAAACTTCAATTAATGTTCTTTTTAAGTAAAATATTTATGAATGCATCCAGCAAAATGCTTAAGATTTGGGTATTCACAAAGTATTAGTTTTCTATGGATCTCTCTAACAATAATGTGAAAACCCAAAATGAATATAAAATATTAGCTAATATATATTTCAAAGTATTCTACAAGTATAAAAACTATGACATTATTACTTTCATATACATAAAACATTAATAAATTTTAGTCAACATAAACATGACCTTTACATCTAACCTTGTATTAATTCAATTAAGAGTTAATACAGTATCCTAAAGTCATCAAATACTCAAAAATAGAATGTATTCTGACTTGGAATGTGCATAAAATTAATTATTTTCAGCTGAGTGCAGTGGCCTATGCCTGTAATTCCAGCACTTTGGGAGGCCGAGGCAGGTGGATTGCTTGAGGTCAGGAGTTTGAGACCAGCCTGGCCAACAAGGTGAAACTCTGTCTCTAATAAAAATACAAAAGTTAGCCAGGCATGGTGGAGCATGCCTGTAATCCCAACTACTCTGGAGGCTGAGGCAGGAGAATAACTTGAACCTGAGAGGCGGAGGTTGCAGTGAGCCGAGATTGCACCACTGCACTCCAGCCTGGGTGACAGAGATTCCATATCAAAATAAAAATAATAATAACCATTTCCTGTGACTCCCAAGATAAAACAACATTATAGAATACCGAATAATCCTGAATTTGGTTTTCTTCATTTTATTTTGCTTTGTCATTATTTTTGTTCACCTTGACCAGTGGGCTGGTGGTTCTTAGGTGCACCTGAGTGTTCCTTGTTAGGTTCAAAATTTTAAAACTTTAATGTGGTAATTTCTCTAATTTTTTTGACAGTTATTTCTCAGGTTGCAAGTTAAAATAAAATTTCCATTTTACTAAAGTCTTTGATTTATTAATGATTTTATAATGACTTAATATATAATTTAATGGGTAATGAGGGGTACTACAAAATTTCAGAAATCAAAACTAAAGAACTTATTCGTGGAACCAAACACCAACTGTTTCCCAAACACCTATTAGAATAAAAAATATAAAAACAATTTTTTAAATAAAAACTAAAAATGAAAATGAAAAAATATATATCCAGGTTAAAAAAGAACTATTTCAGTTAAACAACAAATACATTTTGGGGGACTTTACTACAAAATTGTCTGTTGTTATAAATAAGACAGAAAAAAAAATCTAAGTTTTTAAAAATAAAAAATAGTAAGTAAAAAAAAAGATATAACAAATATTGGTATATTGGTGAAGACTGGGCTCAGTGGCTGTTTTCCAAAGTGGTTACACCAGTCAGGTGTGGTGGCACACACCTGTACTCCCAGCACATCGGGAGGCGGAAGCAGGCAGATCACTTGAGCTCAGGAGTTTGACACAGACCTGGGCTACATGTCAAAACCCAATCTCCACCAAAAAATGTAAAAATCAGCCACACATGATGGCATTCAGCTGTAAGTCCCAGCTACTTGGGAGGCTCAGGTGAGAGGATCACTTGTGCCTAGGAGATCACAGCTGCACTGACCATGTTCATACCACTGCACTCCAGCCTGCGTGACAGAGCAAGGTTTTGTCTCCAGAAAAAAAAAAAAAAAAGTTGATGACAATGTGGAAGAATTGGAACCCACATACATTACTGGTGGGAACATAAAATGGTGTAATCAACTTGAGTGTTTCTTTTCTTATCATTTGATTTTTTTAAAAACCAAGATATTGTCTCCCTATGTTGCCCAGGCTGGTCCTGAACTCCTGGGCTAAAGCAATCCTCCAAACTCAGTCTCTCAAATACCTGAGATTAAAAGTGTGAGCCACTATGCCTGACTGGTATAACCACTTTGAAAAACAATGTGACCATTTCTCAAAGGTTGAATGTATAGTTATCACATAATGCAACAATTTCACTCCTGGGTGTAAATCCAAGAGAAATAAAAATATATATTCACAATAAAACTTGCATATGCTTGTTCATAGCAGCATTACTCATGATGGTCAATACACAGAAACAAGACAAATGTCCATCAACTGATGAATGGATAAACATAAGCTATTATTCAACTACAAAAGGAAAAAAAATACTGATACACACCAGAACATGAAAGAAATTTGAAAATATTGTGCTAAGGGGGAAAAAAAAGCAAACTACAAAAGCTCACATATTGTATAATTCTATTTCTATAAAAGATCCAGATTAGGCAAAACTACAATGACAGAAAATAAATCAGTGGTTGTCTATAAAGACACAGGAATGTGGAGGAAGTAGGAGGTAGTAGCTAGTAAGTGAGGGTTTCTCACTTATAAACGGGTAACTTGTAAGTGGGCAATCACTTCTAAAGGTGACTGTGGTAAGGAATACACAGCTCTTTGAATATTCTAAAAACCACTTAATTGCAAACTTTCTTTTTTTCTTCCTTCTGTCACCCACGCTGTAGTGCAGTGGCACCATCTGGTCTCACTGCAACCTATGCCTTCTGGGCTCAAGTGATCTTCCAGCCTCATGTCCCTGAGTAGTTGGGACAACAGGCATAAGCCAGCGCACCCAGCTAATTTTTGTATTTTTAGTAGAGATGCTGTTTAGTCTTGTTGCCCAGGCTAGTCTTAAACTCCTGAACTCAAGTGATCCACCTCCCTCAGCCTCCCAAAGTCTTAGCATGATAGGAATTAGCCACTGCACCCAGCCTGAATTGCATACTTTCATAAATGATTTGTATGATATGTTAATCATATTTCAATAAAATCATTATTTTAAAAAGGGACCATGTGCCGTGGCTCATGCCTGTAATTCCAGCAAATTGGGGGGCCGAGACGGATAGATCACTTGAGGTCAGGAGTTTGAGACCAGCCTGGCCTACATGGCAAAACCCTGTCTCCACTAAAATACAAAAAATTAGCCAGGCATGGTGGCATGTGCCTGTAATGCCAACTATTCATGAGGCTAAGGCAGGGGAATTGCTTGAACCAGGGAGTTGGAGGTTGCAGTGAGCTGAGATCGTGCCACTACACTCCAGCCTGGGCGACAGAGCAAGACTCTGTCTCCAAAAGAAAAAAAAAAAAAGAAAGAAAATAGGGGTTGAACACAGATGGCTCCCACCTGTGTATAATCCCAGCACTTTGGGAAGCTGAGGCAGAAAGATCACTTCAGGCCAGGAGTTTGACACCATCCTGGACAACATAGCAAGATCCCATCTGTACAATTAAAAAAAAAAAAAGTTAGCTGGGCATAGGGGCAAATGTCTGCAGTCCCAGCTATTTGGGAGGCTGAGGTGGGAGGACTGTTTGAGCCCAGGGGTTTCAGGCTGCAATGAGCCATGATCGCACCACTGCACTGCAGCCTGGGTGACAGAGCAAGACCCTGTCTCTAGGAAGAAAAAAGA